TACTATTACTATTCTACTACTACTACTACTACTACCTTTTACTTTACTACTACTACTACTACTACTACTACTACTACTACTACTACTACTACTACTACTACTACTACTACTATTACTACTACTACTACTACTACTACTACGACTACTACTACTACTACTCCTACGATTACTACTACGATTACTACGACTACTACTACTACTAAACGACTATGAGTATTATCGTGACGACTACTACTCTTATCATTTTTTCTGTTGTTATTGTTTTGTTTTCTACTACGACTACTACCACCATTACTACCACCACGACGACTACTACTACTACTGCTACTACTACCGCTACACCAACTACTACTACTACTACTACTACTACTACTACTACTACTACTACTACTATTACTACCCCTACTACTACTACTACTACTACCCGTAATTCTTCTACGACTACTCATACGGTTACTACTACTACTACTACTACTGCTACTACTACTACTACTACTACTACTACGACTACTACTACTACTACTACTACTACTACTACTACTACTTCTGCCTCCACGACTACTATTCCTATTCCCACAACTTCTACTACTACTACTACGAATACGACTACGATTGCAAAAACTACTTTACGACGACCACGACGACGACGATTATTACTATTACAATTACGACTACCATTACTACGGTTACCACTACTACTATTACTACGACTACTACTATTACTATTACTACTACTACTACTACCTTTACTACTACTACTACTACTACTACTACTACTACTACTACTACGACTACTGCTACTATTAATCATAATAATTACCATGTGACGTACCAAACCCATTTGCATCATGGGAGACGAGGATTTGGCCAAAACTTGCATGGACAATCAAATTGCAGGATCCGTTGTTTGACATGTAAGCTACTTTGGACACGCGCCTATGGCATGATGCGCAGGAGAACCATACAAGAACGAGGGACGACAACTGAAGGCTCGAAGAGGACATGGGGAGTCGGGGACGAAGAGCAGGAGAACGACGCGCGGGAAGCCCACTGCGCTGTGCCCCTAAGCAGCCCTCGAACGTGGCGACAGTTTCACAGATCGCAGCCCCCCATGGATGGCAAGGTCTAACCGGTGTCTGCGGTGAGTACCCACTGTGCTGTGCCCCTCAGCAGCCCTCGACAGCGGCGACTGTTTCACAGATCGCAGCCCCCCAGGGATGGCAAGGCCTAGTCTGAGTCTGCGGTGGGTACCCACTGCGCTATGCCCCTCAGCAGCCCTCGAAAGTGGCGACAGTTTCACACACCGCAGCCCCCCAAGGATGGCGAGGTCTAATCTGAGTCTGCGGTGAGTATCCGCTGTGTTGTGCCCCCCAGCAGCCCTCGAAAGTGGCGACAGTTTCACAGATCGCAGCCCCCCAATGATGGCGAGGTCTAATCTGAGTCTGCGGTGAGTACCCACTGCGCCGCGCCCCTCAGCAGCCCTCGAAAGTGGCGACAGTTTCACAGATCGCAGCCCCCCAGAACGGCGAGGTATAATTTGAGTCTGCGGTGAGTACCCACTGTGCTGTGCCCCTCAGCAGCCCTCGAAAGTGGCGACAGTTTCACAGATCGCAGCCCACCAGGGACGGCGAGGTATATTTTGAGTCTGATGTGGGTACCCGCTGGTTTGTGCCCATCAGCAGCCCACGAAAGTGGCGACAGTTTCACAGGTCGCAGCCCCCCAGGGATGGCAAGGTCCCGCTCAGGTCCGCGCGGTGCTTCGCTCTGCAGGACCCACCAGCAGCCCTCAAAAGTGGCGACAGTTTCACAGGTCGCAGCTCCCCAGGGACTGCGAGGTCTCGTTTGGGTCCGCGGTGGGTACCGTCTCCGCTGGCCTCCCCAGCAGCCCTCGAAAGTGGCGACAGTTTCGCAGATCGCAGCCCCCCCCCCCAGGGACGGCGAGGTCCCGCTCAGGTCCGCGCGGTGCTTCACTCTGCAGGACCAACTAGCCGCCCTCGAAAGCGGCGACAGTTTCGCAGATCGCAGCCCACCAGGGACGGCGGGGTCCCGCTCAGGTCCGCGCTGTGCTTTACTCTGCAGGACCCACCAGCGGCCCTCAACAGTGGCAACAGTCTCGCAGATCGCAGCCTCCCAGGGACGGCGAGGTACCGCATGGATCCGCTGTGAGTACCCTCTCTGCTGGCCTCCCCAGCAGCCCTCGAACGTGGCGACAGTCTCGCAGATCGCAGCCCCCGAGGGACGGCGAGGTCCCGCTCATGTCCGCGCGGTGCTTCACTCTGCAGGACCCAATAGCAGCCTTCGAAAGCGGCGACAGTTTCGCAGATCGCAGCCCCCCCAGGGGCGGCGAGGTCCCGCTCAGGTCCGCGCGGTGCTTCACCCTGCTGGACCAACCAGCAGCCCTCGAAACTGGCGACCATTTCGCGGATCGCGCCCCCCAGGGACGGCGAGGTACCGCTCAGGTCAGCGCGGCGCTTCACCCCGCAGGACCAACCAGCAGCCCCCGAAAGTGGCGGCAGTTTCGCAGATCGCAGCCCCCCAGGGACGGCGAGGTTTCGTTTGGGTCAGCGGTGGGTACCCTCTCTGCTGTCCTCTCCAGCAGCCCTCGAAAGTGGCGACAGTTTCACAGGTCGCAGCTCCCCAGGGACTGCGAGGTACCGTTTGGGTCCGCGGTGGGTACCCGCTCCGCTGCCCCCCTTCCCCCCCTCCTCCCCCCCCCCCCTCCCCCCCCCCCCCCCCCAGCAACCCTCGAAAGTGGCAGCAGTTTCGCAGATCACAGCCTCCCAGGGACGGCGAGGTCTCGTTTGGATCCGCGGTGGGTGCTCTCTCTGCTGCCACCCCCCAGCAGCCCTCGAAAGCGGCGGCAGTTTCACAGGTCGCAGCCCCCCAGGGACGGCGAGGTCCCGTTTGGATCCGCGGTGGGTACCCTCTCTGCTGGCCTCCCCAGCAGCCCCCGAACGTGGCGACAGTTTCGCAGATCGCGGCCACCAGGGACGGCGAGGTCCCGTTAGGACCCGCGGTGAGTACCCTCTCTGCTGGCCTCCCCAGCAGCCCTCGAAAGTGGCGACGGTTTCGCAGATCGCAGCCCCCCAGGGGCGGCGAGGTCCCGTTTGGATCCGCGGTGAGTGCTCTCTTTGTTTGCTTCCCCAGCAGCCCTCGAAAGTGGCGACAGTTTCGCAGATCGCGGCCCCCCAGGGACGGCGAGGTCCCGCTTGGATCCGCGGTGCGTGCCCTCCCTGCTGGCCTCCCCAGCAGCCCCCGAAAGTGGCGGCAGTTTCGCAAATCGCGGCCCCCCAGGGACGGCGCGGTCCCGCTTGGATCCGCGGTGGGTGCCCTCTCTGCTGGCCTCCCAGCAGCCCTCGAAAGTGGCGACCGTTTCGCAGATCGCGGCCCCCCATGGACGGCGAGGTCCCGTTTGGATCCGCGGTGGGTGCCCTCTCTGCTGGCCTCCCCAGCAGCCCTCGAAAGTGGCGACCGTTTCGCGGGTCGCAGCCCCCCATGGACGGCGAGGTCCCGCTTGGATCCGCGGTGAGTGCCCTCTCTGCTGGCCTCCCCAGCAGCCCTCGAAAGTGGCGACAATTTCGCAGATCGCGGCCCCCCAGGGACGGCGAGGTCCCGTTTGGATCCGCGGTGAGTATTCTCTCTGCTGGCCCCCCCAGCAGCCCTCGAAATTGGCGACCATTTCGCAGATCGCGCCCCCCAGGGACGGCGAGGTCCCGTTTGGATCCGCGGTGAGTGCCCTCTCTGCTGGCCTCCCCAGCAGGCTTCGAAAGTGGCTGCAGTTTCGCAGATCGCAGCCCCCCAGGGGGAAGAGAGGGACGGGAAGGAAGGAAGGACGGAAGCAGGGAGACGCGCGAGCAGCGCTCGATTCAAAACGAGAACCCAACGCAGGAGGGTTGTGAATAATTTTGATAATAGTAATAGTAATAGTAATAATACGAATACAAATCATAATAATAAGAATAATAATAGTAATAGTAATAATACTAATGATACGAGTGCTACGACGACGACTACTACTACTACTACTACTACTACTGCTACTACTACTTCTACTACTACTGCTACTACTACTACTACTACTACCACTACTACTACTACTACTACTACTACTACTACTACTACTACTACTACTACTACTACTACGAATACTACTACTACTACTACTACTACTACTACTACTACGACTACTACTACTACTACTACTACTACTACTACTACTCATACTAGTATTACTAGTATTACTACTACTACTACTACTACTACTACTACTACTACTACGACTACTACTACTACTACTACTACTACTACTACTACTACTACTACTACTACTACTACTACTACTACTACTACTACTACTACTTACTACGACTACGACTACGACTACGACTACTACGACTACGACTACTACGACTACTACTACTACTACTACTACTACTGCTACTACTACTACTACTACTACTACTACTACTGCTACTACTACTACTACTACTACTACTACTACTACTACTACTACGGCTACTACGGCTACTACTACTACTACTACTACTACTACTACTACTACTACTACTACTACTACTACTACTACTACTACTACGATTACTACGATTTCTACTACGACTGCTGCTACTACTGCCACTACTATTTGCTCCTCCCACCCCTGCCCCTTCTCTTCATCATCATCATCATCATCATCATCATCATCATCATCATCATCATCATCATCATCATGAACATCAACAGCAACAACAGCATTCTCAGCATCCTCTACAACGTCCTTTATGCTGCGACCTGCCGGGAAAACGTTTGTTACCTTCCTTGGGACTCGACTTGAATTATCCCCACCCTGTGAATATCAGGGGCATAGGTTTCGGCCCTGGCCTTCAACACCTTCGAGGTGACACCCAAAATACTTTCATCGCCTTGTCCTACTTCATGCTTCATGCTTCCACCCACTTCGGCGCCAGTCACCCCTCCCTTGTCCGCCTCGTCTCCACCGAGAGGTTTCGGGTTCATCACCCTGGCGGACAACCGGCGAGTCTACGTGCACGCGTCCTCGTTCGGTGGCGGCGAGCTCAAGGTCGGCGAGACGGTAAGGTGCACGCTTGAGGAGGACGACAAGAATGCAGGGAAGCTGAAGGCTTCAGACGGGCAAAGATCAGCGATACCGCTGCAGTCAAGCCGCTGAAAGAAGGACCGCTTGGGTTCAGGAGGGTCCCTGGTTTTCGGGCCGCTCCGTAGAGTTATGTCGAGGACCCTATGCGTGGCCGAGGCTGGCCGTGGCCAGAAAACCCCATCCGTTCTCACTCGGCGTTCCCAGCGGCGGCGGCGCGATGACTGCACCCCTCCCTCGTGCCCTCCGCTTCGGGCCCTCTCGGGCCTCCTCGTCGCCACGGCTGGGCTCGCCTCGGAAAGCCTCAGGCGATCGCAAACGTGGGTCAAGGGGGCGTGGATTTAGGGGGCCACACGCGAACCCTTCCCCTACCCCCCACGATTTCTGAGGGGGAGGGTGGGGTTCACTTCGCCTGGGAGCTCCCGAGCGAAGTGAAAATCGTGGGGGTAGGGGTAGGGTTCGCATGTGGCCCCCTAGGATTGGCGACGGGTCCCGTTTCCAATGGGGAATCGCGGATTTTGCCGCCGAACGAGGCGGCACCGGCCGCAGTTTGGGGAGGGCACTTCCCCCGAACCATGGATTTGGCGACCGCGCGCCAGATCCATGGATCGCTAGTCCATGTTTGCGCACCTGGAATCCTGGTCAGAGAGCATCAGGGGACACGTCCGGGGAGTTGCGGGATCGTCTTCATTGTGGATCCCCCGAGGCCAACAAGCTGGTGCGGGGTCCCCTCGGCGAGGATCGAGGAGCAATCAACTGCATTAGCACACCCCCCGCAGAGCTCGCTTCGACTCCTCCGATTCGATTCGTGTCGATTTCGATGGCTTCCGATCCCGATTCGATTCGATTTGGGATTCCGCTTGGAGGCATAGTAGCCTGCCGATCTCTGCCGATTCGACTTCTCCCGACTCGGCTGCCGATTCCCGCCGATCCGATTCGCTTCGATCGCCGATCCGACGCATCGATTCGATTCTGGTCTCTCCCGCCCTGCGTCAGGTCGGCGCGGACTTGCTGGGTCGGCGCCAGGGCCCCCTTGTCCATGGGTGGCCAGCAGGGGGGGGGGTCCAGCGCCGACCCAAGACATCTCCGCGCGGACCTCCAGATGGATACGGTGGAGGCCCATGCCGAGAAACCCTGCTTGCCTCCAGGGTGCCCTGGGCTTCTGAGGTTTCGATGGTTTCGCTGTGGAAAGCGTGACGCCCCCGCCGGAAAATCCAATGGACGTCCTGGGGTCTCAGGGTGTGGTTTCTTGTGTAGGGTTTCTTGTGGTCGGGCCTCCACTGCGCGTGTGCCGTCTGCGGCTCTCCTGGAGGAGGGGGTCGTCAAGGAGTGGAAGAAGGAAGGCGGCTTCGGCTTCCTCGATATGGAGGACGGCCGCAGGTGCTACATCCACGCCAGCGTCTTCAAAGGCACCGGCAAGCGCGAGCTGCAGAACGGCATGCGGCTGCGGGTCGCCACGAAGCCAGACGAGCGCAACCCCGGGAAGTGGGCGGTGTCGGAGGTGAAGGTCGGGGCCCCAAAACGGTGTGGTGACCACACCGCGTGGTGAGTCATTGGGGATTCGATGTCACCGCACGGTTTTGGGATTCGGGTCGTTCTCCGAGGATGATGGGCGACTGGTGTTTCCAGGGTCCCAGAACCGTGCGGTGACGGACGGCGTGGTGAGGTCTCTTGGGGCTTCGAGGTCACCGCGCGGTCTGTTACCACGCGGTTCTGGAACCCCCAAGCAGGGCGGCCTCGAGGACGACCGGGCCTACGCCGAGGGTGACGACGGCCTGCCGCCTCTGCTGGTGGCAGAGGTGGTGGAGTGGGACAAGCGCGGCTTCGGCTTCGTCCAGGTCCAGGGCGACGACCGGCGAATCTACACCCACCACACCTCCTTCGGCACCGGCGACCTGGAGATAGGCGAGAAGGTCAGTGCATCAGGAGGGAAAAAAACACAGACACAGTTGATCGTCGATTCCCAAGGAACTATGGGAAAATATGGCAAGTGGGGGGGAAGACGAGAATCGAGAAAATATGACAAAAATTGGCATCCTGGAATTTGTGCCTGTTTATTTGTGCGTCCCAGGGCCCCATGCAGTGCAGGAGGGCCAAGAAGCAGCCTTGGCCTCCGACGTCGGGATCTCTTTTCACGGCGCTGCTCCCCCATGCAGGGGCCCCGTGGCCCCTTCCTTGGGACTTGCAGGGGCCCCCCGGTCCAGCAAGGCCCTCCGACGCCGAACATGTCGGGCGGGTAGTAAATGGGAGATGCCCTAGAGGAGTGCTGAAGAAAAGAGCCATACATCGTAATAGAAACAACGCCAACTGATTTATGTTTACGCCGTTGCTTCTTCTTCAGCGTAATGGGGGACATCAATTCGGCGGCGAACGATGGGGGGAAGTGAGAAGGGGCGGTCCTTCTCAGAAGGCTCGGAAGTCCCGCGGCCTTCAGATTAGTTTTCTAACCCTTCCCCGAAGACAGACGAAAATGTCTCAGAAGGCGCGAGGGCTTCTGGGAAGTCCCGCCGCCTCCTGAGAAGGCCTTCTCCTTCTCACTTCCCCCCCTCGCTCGCCCCCGATAAATGGGCGGTGGAGGAAAAGGTCATCAAGAGGCTCTGTCGGGCCCCTTTCCGGCCCCTGCTGGCTCCACGAGGGGCCCCACAGCGCAGTTACGGAGCCCTTCTCTTCACCCCCCCCTGCAGGGACGCCCCCCTCTGCCACCCGCCCGAGCATGGCTCAAAGCCCTGCGCCGCACCTGCTCCTGGACGCCAGGAGGTCAGGCAACGGCAAGAGCCCCGGGCTCTGGAGGCGCGCGCGCCCCTGTCGTTGAGTCGAACACGTCCCTCTACAGGAGGAATACAAAAAAAAAGTCAAAAATTGCCAGGGGGCGATTTTCTGAGGACTTCTCGACTATGTTTGAGCATCTTGTGAGTATTTTATCTCTCGCATAAAATCCGCCTGAAGGGGGACACGGCCGGCCTAACCCTGTCGGGTGGGTGCCGGACCCCCTTCCCCCGCCCCGCGCGCGGACCGCGCCAGGGCGGGGGGGAGGGGGGGGCCCAGAGGCGCAGGGTGTGGACAGGGGCCATCGGATCGGACGGGGGAGGGGGGGGGGGGGGATGGCCCGCCTCCCTCTGGACGCTCCGCGCTGCTATTTTACCCGGGTCCAGTCGGCGATAGAGGAGGGGCAACCGTGGAATGATTGAGCCTCTGAGGCCCGAGCGCGACAGGGCGCAAGGGGGGGAACGGAGTCCGAGCCCCTGCCCCAGGTCTCGGAACGCACTCTTCCAAACGTCACTTTTTTCTCTTCCTCCCCATCTCCTCCCTTCCAGCCTTTCCCCGCTCATGAAGTATCTATTGGCGATCGCGTCTTTGACCCGGTCAGGTGTGCATCGAAGTTGTGAGAAATGCCAGTGTTGCCACCAGTCGCGCGCCCATACATGTGTAAGTGCTTGCTATTTTGATCATCGCGCGGTCCGACAATCTTCGGAGATGCGGCTGGCAGGTGAAATTCCTTCCCACTCCTCCTCCTTCCCCCCCAGACGCTCTGCGCTGCTAACCGACTCCATTCGACGATACAGGACTGGCAAATGTAGAATGATCGTCCTTTGAGGCCTGAAAGCGACAGGGCGCAGTGGAGGGAGCGGAAACGGAGCACCTGCCCCAATTCTCAAAACACCGTTTTTGTTTCTATCATTTTCTCTTCCTCTCCCGTTCCCCCCCTCCTTCCCTTCCCTTTCCTCCTTCCCATCTCTCCCACATTTCCCCCCTCAGTTCCTCGGCTTCTCTACAAAGCGCTTCAGACCACAGACCCTCTAGGGAAGTGCCCCCCCCTCCCCCCCTTCTTATCCCTCTCCTCCCGTCCACCGATGTTTTCGCCCACCAGGATAGAGATTCCATATCTAGGCATGCCGATAGGTTCGAGGTAATCTTTCTGCGGCAGTGCTTTCGATCCAGTGGTTCCCCCGTCCTGTAAGGTGAAGGGGTGGGAACAGGGAGGGGTATGAAATCTGCTGCATGCAGCTGGTTTCGGGCCTGCCTCCAGACGCTGTCCTCAATACATGGGCGCCTCCAGCGCCGGGAAAGCCAGCTACGTGAGCTGACTGGCTAACCCTTCCTTGAATGACCCCGCCTGGCGTCCGACCAGAGTCCTGCGCGGAGCCACGAAATTCACGTGGCTGTCCACACAATTGTACTCGTGCATTTCCTGCTTCGTGCACTTCTGCACCTCTCGCCGCTTCGTCGTCCAGGTGAGCATCACCCTGGGCCCCGACAACAAGAACCCGCAGAAGCTGATGGCGATCACGCTGGTGCGCGACGGCGGCGTGGGCGGCGAGCTCGACGCCAGCAAGGTCAGGAGCAGGCCCCGGCAGGAATTCTTCGGTGGCGATCCCCTCGCCGCCCTGCCGGAGGGCGACTGGCCCGAGCTCGTCTGGAGCATGGGCACTCGGGCGTTGCGCGAGTGTGGGGGGGGATATTATGGTGTTCCAACCTGCTTTGGCCCGGAGCACCAGAAATAACCTCGAGCACCAAGAAGGTACCCCAATGGGAGGGTCTTCACGTGTCGTGCCCCGGGAGGCGATACTCGTTCGACACTGCTTCGATACTTTTTTGGGTGCTCGGAAGTATTTCTGGGACGCGGTCCTTTTAGTATGGTGAGAACAACATACATCAAGGGGGGGATCGAAGAGCCAAACCTTCTGGTCGGCGGCCGTGAGATTCAGTCGGGCGTGTCCCTCTACAGGAGGAATCTTCAAAAATAATCAAAGAAATTACATGGGTACGATGTTTATATCATGTGTTGGATTATGTTTTATGGTTTGTTGAATATTTTTTGATTTGTTCTCTAGAATCCGCCTGTAGGGGGGGCACGCCCGACCTAAACTTTCTGGTCGGCGGCCGTGAGAGCTCCAAACCGGCGGTAGAGCGGCGGTGGGACGCGCGCCGGAGCACAGCAAGGATCCCAGGAGCGCGTGGAGGAAGGCCAGATGGCAGGGCTGGACCTAGACGTTGTTTTGCTGGATTTCGGCTGTGTTTTGTTTTTCGTTTTGGCAGGGAGGTGCAGGAAAACAGGTATCAGGAGGGAAGAAGCACAGAGACACAATGAATCGCCCACTCCCAGGAAAATATGGGAACATACGGGAAGTGGGGGGAAGACAAACACCCGGAGAATTGTAGGAAACATGGGGAATCATGTTATATGTGTGCATTTATTTGTGTGTCCTTGGGCCCCTTCAAACAGCTACGGCGGAACGGACAACAAGACGAAAGCAAGACGAGAAACGAAACAAACAACGCGGGAGGGAGGCACACTCAGACCGTGAAGGCCGCCGGGTGCGTGCCGAGGAGCCGGAGAACCAGACGCGGCATCAGCGTATTTGTGAAGTCGGGCACGCCCCTCCACAGGAGAGAAGTACAGCCAAGAGGCTGAAATAGGGAACAGTTTGGGTTCGGAAGGGGCTCGATGTTCCTTAGGTTCCTCCAGTGGTGTTCCTCTTGCCCTCCTGGGGCACGCAGGCGCTCACAGGGCCAAGAATGGGTTTCGTTCCTTATTTAGCGTTCCTTCTTTCAACGGCCCGACTGTATTCAAAAATAGTTTAAAAAAAATCAATATGGGGACGATTTTTCGACTATTGTTTTACTGCTTTGGGGAGGTTTTGGAGCATGTGTGTACTTTGTCCATAATCCGCCTGTCGGTGGACATGCCCGGCCTAATACTTTCCAGGATCTCCGCGCGGATTTCTTGGATCGAGGGTGGGCTCCCTTGGCAGCGCCCCTGGCGCCGCCCCAGGAGGGGGGGGTCCAGCGCCGACCCAAGAAATCCGCGCGGAGCTCTGTGCAGTGTCCTGTTCCTTTTACTGAAGAAAGGTGCACCTGTCGTGCACCTTCGGGGCCTTAATGTCGGAGGTTGATAGACCTCCTACCCTGACACGTCAATTAGCGAATTGGTCGTTTTCGGTTCGCGAGAGGGGGTCGCGACCGTCATTTTTGCGGGTCCAGGTCCGTCGGTTTCGGTCCTAGGCCGTTCTCACTAAAGGGTGGCCGACGATGGTGCACGAAAGGTGCGTGTTTCTTCGCCCCCCCCCCCGCCCATTCATCTTCCCCCACATTATGCAACGCCCAAGGCACTGTGATAGAATGGAACGACGAGAGGGGCATTGGCCATATCGAGGTCGAGGATTTCGGAGGGGCTCGGTGCAATTGCGCATATAGTGGGGGCCATGCCAAGAAGCACCCTGCTTGCCTCCAGGGTGCCCTGGGTTTCTTGAGTTTCGATGGCCCTGCTATGGAAAGCGCGACGCTCCCACACCAAAAAACAGTGGACGCCCTGGGGTCTCAGGGTTGGGTTTCGTGCGGAAGGTTTCTTGTGCACGTGTCTCCATTGTACGTCGCGTCGACTGGTCGGCTCAGGAGCTCGTTGTGCAGACGCCGCAGCTCCCCCCCGTCCCTGGAAGAAGGCCTAAAGGCCGCCTGCAGCAGGCTCTTTCGTCGTGTCGCGTCGTCGCGGCCGCGTCACCAGCGTCGGGCGTTCAAGGTGGAACGCCGCCAGGGTTACGTCGGGCCTGTCCCTCTACAGAAGGAATAGTCAAAAAAATGATATAAGAATAGTCCGGGGACGATTGTTTGACCATGTTGGCCCATTTGGGGGGTATTGTTTTAGTACGTTTTTATGTTTTCGCCCCAAATCCCCCTGTAGGGGGACAGGCCCGACTTAACGTCAGTGGCCGACATCGAACGATCAGCCCTGTCGGAAAGCCGCACTGGCTCAGGGTTGAACGGTCCAAGTCTTCTCAGCCACCAAGGCCGACGTCTTGAAGTAGCAAATTGTAATGATAGTGATGCGTTCCTGGATGGCCAGGGTTCCTCACGGACTCCAGAAGAGAGAGGGCCGATATATGTTCTGGCATTCTTGGAACGCATCCTGAGGAATTCGTGTCATGATTTCATGCTAGTCTTGATGTCGTAGCGACACGAACATGCCGTGCACACCGAACTCTAGGTCACCCCCAGGGGCGGGCGCGAAGATAACCGCGCATCGCGGGGCGCGATAGGTGACCTAGGAATTCCGCGGCCCCCCTCCCAGGACGGGCGGCGGCTGCACGTGCACCACTCGAGCTTCGGCGGGGGCTCGCTGCAGGAGGGCGGCGGCTGCGAGGTGGTGGTCGCGCCGGACAGGAAGGACCCGACCAGGTCCGACGACACGTATTGGGGGGACCAAGTGGGGTTGATGACCAGGGTGAAGTCGGGCGTGTCCCTCGACAGGAGGAATGTTCAAAAGTACTCCCAAAGTAGTCTGGGGGCTTTTTTTGTTACTCACCACCTTGGAGCATCTTTTAATTTTTTCGTTCCTCCAAAATCCGCCTGTAGGGGGACATGCCCGACCTGCCAATGCTCGGGGGTGGACAGACCTCCTGCCATGACACGTCGATCAGTGATTTGTCAGTCTTCGGTTCTCGAGAGGGCACCGCGGCCGTTCTCTTCCAGACTTGCGCCCGCCAGGTTGGGCCCGAGGTCGTCTTCACTAAACCACGTCTTACTAACGGGGTTTCTGTCCATCCCCGGAATATGTCCCCTGGCCACCTCCTGGCCCGCGCACGCGCCTCGGGCCATGCTCTGCGATCCCCCCTCTCGGACGCCGCCCTCCTCCTGGGGGGGGGATGCCGGATGGTCCCGAACGGCAGCGAGAGGCCCGGGTCGGGCATGTCCCTCTACCGGAAGAGTGTTCAGAAACCGTGGAAAAAATAGTCCGGGGACGATTTCTCCACTGTTTTTCTTCTGTTGCAGATGTTTTGGCCAGCCTCAATCTGTCCTCCAAAGCCCTCCTGTAGAGGGACATGCCCGACCGAACGAGAGGCCCGAGGAGGGGCCCGAGACCCGAGCGGGCCTCCGTCGGAGGTGGCCCCCCTCGTGGGCGCCCCTCGAGGGGAGCCTTCGGGGGGGGGGTCGTGGGTGGACAGACCTCCCACCCTGACACGTCGATTCGTGAATTGTCCGTTTTCGGTTCTCGAGAGGGCGCCGCGGCCGTCATTTTCCAGGCTTGCGCCCGCCAGGTTTTGGCCCGAGGTCGTTTTCACTAAACCACGTTTTACTAAAGGAAGGTCTGTCCATCCCCGAGGGGGGCGGGCCCGAGCCCGAGCGCGCTGACCGCCACCGCCGCATCGCCTGCGACGGCCAGCAGGCCGCGCACCGAAGGCCACGCCCGGGCAGTGCTCGAGTCGAGCAATTTTCATCTTGAGTCGGGCCTGTCCTCTACAGGGGGAGTGCTCAAAAGTAGTCAAAGAACAGTCTGGGGACTATTTTTTGAGCATGTGTTGTCAATTTTGGAGTATGTTTTGAATATCTTTTATCTTCCGTCGAAAGTCCCCCTGTAGGGGGACACGCCCGACTTAAAGTTAATCTTCGATTCCCCAGGAAGTATCGGGGGTGGACAGACCGCCTACCCTGACACGTCGATTAGCGAATGGGCCGTTTTCGGTTCGCGAGAGGGCGTCGCGGTCGCCATGTTTGCGGGGTCAGGGCGTCCAGATAAGTCGGTCCAGGGCGTTCCGGAGCGCCCTCAGAGCCTTCTGGAACGTTCAGAACTGGCCGCGGCGCCCGATGCATCCTCCAAACTCGCCGATTCTGAAAGATTTTCGATGTATGTCGCTCCAACTTTGTCTCGATTCTGCCTTCGCCTTACACCCTTGCCCAGGGCCACCCTTGCGTGTAGCCGACAGGTGGATGGCCGCCAAGGTCCGCGGGCCTTGCGTCAAGAAGCGGGAGGCCCGCAGGGACGCGCCCAGCGAGTTGGGCGCCGAGCCGGCCGAGAAGCGGCAGAAGTTCACGTGACCGAGGCGGGGCCTCCACTCCGTGCCACCGAGACGTACACCCAGTACAGTCAACATTGATAGCAAGGATAGTCTTGGCATCGCTCGGACGTGTGCATTTTTCCTTCGGCGAGGACCATCGAGGAGTTGGCGAAAAAACCACGCACGAAACCGCGAAAAACGCAAGGAATGGACGTCCGAGCGACGGCCAGTAGTCGAAAAATCAAAGACTGCATCAACATAAACTGCCGGCGCTTCTCGCGGATTTCTCGGGTCGGCGCTTGGGCCCCCCTGGCAGCGCCTCTGGCGCTGCCCCTGGAGCGCTCCGCGCGGCAGGGAGGGAGGTCCAGCGCCGATCCAAGGAATTCCCGCGGACCTCCAAGAGTTCATGTTTGTGCCATCGGTTCTTCCTCAAGCTTACTTTGGCAACGCGTAGCGAAGGTGGCAGTAAGGTGGCAGGGAAGCGTCGGTTTGCGCGGGCCAGTCCAGGAAGAGTGGCGGGATGGCGGCAATGTATTTGCATGGGCCAGAGTCCCCGTCTACCGGACACCCAGCATGGAGGCGCCGAGGGGGTTCACCAGTCTCGAGTTCATTCTTGTCCCTACGATCGACAAGCCAAGAAACAATGATAGTTCTTAGGGCTGCGTCCTCGGCATTTGAGGGGAGCCTTATGCTCGGCATCGGGAGAGGGTGGTGCCAGTCATAGGGACGGGAATTTGCTTCATGCTGGCAATGGGCGGGAGGTCGGCCTGGCTCGGCCGCGGTGCAGTCTGCAGAGTTTTATTCTCGCCCTGGTTCCGTCGTGCCGCAGGCCCCCATCTCTTCGGGGGTGCTCGCGCTCCACTCGCCCTGCGTCGAGGCAAGAGGGCGGCCGAGAGGAGGGGCAGAAGCGGAAGAGCTGAGAAGAGAGGAGGAGGAGGAGGAGGAGGAGGAGGAGGAGGAGGAGGAGGATGAGGATGACAGGACAGGACGGGACATCCGCATGAGGGGGTTCAATGTCGAAACGCCCGCTAAGGAGCCGTGGGGTACGACTTGCAAAATCCCCTTCGAGTAGAATTTGCCGCAGACCCAGATTTCTCATGGGGCGGGCAGGGGGCGTACCCCGATGCTCTAAGGAGCGAGCTCCGAGGAGGCCCCGCAAGAGAGGCTCGCTACCTTGCGAGTGCGAGTCCCTACGGGTCAGTGCGGAGGGAGCAGCTGCTGGCCCTCTCGCGTACCCATTCCTTTGGGAACGCACTGGGCGAGCAGGGCTCCAAAGCAGGGGGAAAGAGGAGGACGAGAGTACACCCAAGATGCATCCACAATGCTGCAATACACACTCCCGTCCGAAGTCCCCGCTTAATAAATCCCTGCTAGCCTCCTTTTCAATACAGGAAGAGCAATTTTGAAAGACTGACACCCTATGGTCTTGCCAGTCATGTGATATCTTCGTTTTGAAAAGGAATTGTCTCGCATCCTTCTATCGGATAGAAAAGGAGTGGTATGTATGTGCAGACAGCTCAGCGAGGTGTCCAGCGCCACCCCCGTGTTGCCAAAAAGGACCGCCCCACTTGTGCAATTGGCACACACGTTTACATTTCTGTCCATGAGCTCAGAGGAATTCACAAGGTGGAACCCCAGTTTGAAAACAAAGGAATTGCCCTCTACTGGCGCAGCTATGACAAATGTTCAAGTTTCTGGTCTTTCGTGTCCTGGGACGTCTCCATCGAGAGCCCCTTTGCGAGAAGTAGTTGTCCTCCACTCCATCCTTGCGAGTGTTCGGCCAGAGCTCCATTCTGAAAAAGAGCAGCCCTCCATCCAGTTGGCTGGAACTTTGTAACTGGAGTGCGCTCGGCGCCAAGGCGAGATTACCATGTTGAAAAGGAACCGCCATCCGTCGGTGCAATTGCTGCAAAAGCTCAACACGATTACGCTCGGCGCTCAGGCGAGAGCTATATTCCAAGCCGATTTGCCCTCCATTCTTCTAGTAGTTGAAACGTTTTCGGACGATTGTGCGCGGCGCCAAGGCGAGAGCCGCATGAGGAACAAGTGCTGCAAACGCGCCCAGTTCTGTTCTATCAAGGACCTCAAGGTTTTCGGCCCGTCTCCAGCGACCTCCTAATCCCCCGTCCACCCCGTCACCCTCCTACCTTCTCTTCATCCCTCCTCGTGGTCGCCGTCGTCCAGCTCGAGCAGGTCCCCGACCCGACGGAGATGTCTCAGAGTTCACTTTTGAAGACCACAGGTCCACCCGATCCCACAAGCCAGAGGGGGGGAGGTGGTCCTGGGCACACAAATCCGCTCCCGTATTTCAATCGATTCACGCAGCAACATGTGCCAGTGTATCATTTCTTGTCCTGGAGAGCATAACCTTTACAAGAGCTTCGCCCACGGAGTCCAGCGAAAACAACCAGCATGACTAGGCGCGAAGGAACAGTACGTACACACGTCCGAAGTGGCCAGCAGGCAGCAGTTGAGATAATGAGCGTGTTGTGAATTTCACCGCCGCGTGTTGTGAATTTCACCGCCGCCCATGCCAGGACCGCAGCAAAATACGGGGACGATCAAAGAATAATCTGGACCTCGCTACCATATAAACGCTTGGCATGAGAGTAATTGATAAATCGGTGTCAGCTGCTTGCCCTCAGTGGGAAAGCGGCTTATAGAGAGAGCTGACGTTTCAACAGTCAACGGTTTGACAAAAAAGAGGCGGCGGGCGTTCGTCAAGGGTTTGGTATTCATGAGGAGCACATTTGCGGTAGTATTAATCGGCGGGGAGCGAGGGGGGAAGTAAGACAGAGAAGGCCTTCTCAGAAGGCTCGGAAGTCCCGCGGCCCTCTGAGAAGTGTTCTGCGCCTTTCCCGAAGACACAAGAAACTGTCTCAGAAGGCGCGAGGGCTTCTGAGAAGTCCCGCCGCCTTCTGAGAAGGCCTTGTCCTTCTCACTTCCCCCCCTCGCTCGCGCCACATTGATCAGATTGAGAGGTGGTCGTTTGTTGGGCCATCAACACAGTCTTCTGCAAGGTGCCGGTTTCGTGTGGACGAGCAGAGGAAGGGCATGTTGGTGGACATGGTCCACGACTAGGTATATACTGATTGGCAAGAGGGAAGAACTGATACGAGAAAGAGGCCCATGCAGGCATCATGTTCCTGCGTGCCTCAACCGAAATTTCAGCCGGGTTTGAAGCGTTCACGGAGACCAGGGTTTTCCAAACATGTTGACAAGTGTTTTGTCACGCTGGAGTTGACGTGGAGACAGAGGAAACAACACAACGCTCGCGATTTATGTCGACACGAAGTTTTTGCAACCAGCTGCCGATGTCAGATTCGAAGACATACGCGAAGGGATTTTGCACGTGAGAAAGGCTTGCGCTGGAGGAGGGGCGAGGACTGCCAATTCATCATCGCTTAATGATTTACCAGACCGAGGCGAAGAAGTTAAGGCTGCAATCAAGACACGCTTAGTATCAGGACAACTTCTGTGCACTCGTATCAAGACACGCTTAGTATTCGACGGAGGCGAGCACGTGATGCGAGAATTGCTCGTCGAGACCGGAGCGGGAGCCGCCATCACCACAAAAAGCACTGCAAGCATGCGGGGGAGGGGGCAAACCATCAACATGCATTGATTATGATGGCTTTCAGTGCAGCGGCGCGCGTCTGTCGAGTGGCAGTCTTTCTGAGCAGATGCGAGAAATGGAGAAATCGACTGACTGAGGAGCGAAGTTATGTGCCGCCTCTGGCTCAACGCATACCCGCAGCCCAGTCTCTTCTCCTCGCTTGGTTTGGCTGCCATTTGCCCCCTCCTCCGCTTTGCTCCTCGCTCGTTCTCCAGTTGCTTCTCGCTTCCTTGCGCCACGCTCCACCTCGGGGCTGTGGACTTACGACTCCGTCGGGGACTGTGACGCTCTGTCGTTGCCCCTTCTGGGCCTGCCAGTCCGAGACTTCATCTCAAGTGTCTGGTCTGTGGAGGTGGGCTCTCCTCAGCTCACGCCAGTTGCGCGCACTGGCCCACATGCCCCCTGCGCGCCCGTGGCAGGCAGGCCTCGCGGAACCAGGTGGTCCTTGCATCAATCTTTTCCACAGGCATCCCCAGCTTGAAAGTCAAGGATGCTGGCTTGATCGGTACCCGCCAACATTGAGCTAAACCTTTACCCTTACCCATCCTCTGCAATATGAATACTACTCTCCTCTCTCCCCTGGTGACGTCCTGGAAATGTCTGGTTCCCCTCCGCGAAATGGCTGGTCCCCCTCCGCGAACTGTTTTTTACACAGGATTTCCGGGAGTTGGGTTTTCGCGTGTTTTTCAACATGCTGTTCTCGCTGAAGCGTTGGCTTCATTTTTGGGCTACCGCTCGTTCCGGATCGTGCTCCCGCTGCAGCGTTGGCCTCATTTCCGCGGTTCCGCTCTTTGCGAATCGTGCTCGCGCTGCAGCGTTGGCGTCATTATTTCCAGCGCTATGCCACGGCATGGTTTTCGGTCCTTCCAAATAGGCCCCCAACTCTAAAGGATTGTCCCCGAAATAACCATCGGAAGTGATTCCACATTCGGTGTCGATTCGTTGATCCTTTGGGCCGACGACGATCCGGCTGGAAAACGCCAATCCGACTTGACCCCGTGAGGGGTTCAGGGGCCCAGCGTGAGCCGATTGTTCAAGGAAGCCAGACCATCGAGCTTGGCAGCCCGCCGTACTATTTCCTGACATCCGTCCTCGCCCGCCGCAGCTTCCCCCGCCGCCGCCGCCGTCGTCGTCTGCGTCGTTGTCGCCGTCGGCAATTTCTGCGCGTTCCCTGGAGCTTCCGGAAGTCTTCGGGCCATCCGCCACGCCTCGTGCAGAGCTGTCAGGGGAGCCTAGGGAGACTTGGAAGGGGGCTCGGAGAACTCAAGGCAGCGTGTCGAAAGGAAGGGGGGGTTCTTCTGCTGTTACCCCTACCAGACGGCACTTGGCATTCGAAAGCGCTCGCATCGGGCAGGCACGGTTGCGCAGGACATGGAGCCAGGATTCCGGACAGGTTCTCTTTTCTTACACGGGCCATTTACCGT